CTGCTGCTGCTGCTACTGCTGCACAGCTGAAGCCGCGGGGGATCGAACGGATGCTCGCATCGCCGAGATCTTGGCCCCGGGGCCTACCCCTTTACTAGAAAGGGCACGGAGAAGACTGGCATTGAAAGCCATTCAAATATGAGAAAACTGGATGTGTTTAACCTCACTACTTCGTTAATGCATATAGGCCGGCAGCAAGCAGAACTCTGGAAACGCAAGTGTGTGATACTGTCGCTCACTTGCACTGGAAATGCAAGTGTGTGAATGTCGTTTACCTGCAGGTTAGCGACATTCACACACTTGCATTTCCAGAGTGGAGGTGTGTGAATGCCCATTCGTACACTCAAGGGAGAAAAGCTGTGAATATGCCTTTGAAATTCACACACTTGTGCCTATGTACGAAAATCGTCCACACAGCTGCAAGTGAGTGACATTCACACCCTTGGCTTTCCGGGTTTCGGTGCATGTAAGGGTGTGCCCAGGTAGGATTCAAGCTACCATAATTGATGGTGGTTTTATAGGGGTGTTCTTCATTCAACCCTTGTCCTCTCTCCCTTACTTCGAAAGTTGCAGTGCGCGATATACATTGTGCACTACATTGCACGGCTGCACAGTTATCATTATCATTGCACATGGGGACATGAAAAAAAAAGAGAGATTGCCTGCTGCGAAGGCCTATAATCCGCTATCATCACTCGGACTCGCGAGTCTCGCGCGCAGACCGGGATTCTAGGGCGTGTAACTCGGCTATACGGTCAGCTGGGGTCGTTTCACGCACGGCGGGGGGCTTCAGCAGTGTTGTTGTTTGTTGTTATAGGCCTGGGCACTGTAAAAGACAAATGTCTTTAAATTTGAGAATATAATTGTTACATTTGTATTTTTAATTCGCAGTAGTGGCGAATGGGGCTTATAAACAAATTAGCCATGATGTTCTCTTTTTTCAGACATTTTTTTTAGTCGGGGGAGAGGGAGAAATGTATGGAGGAAAAACATCACAATCGTTATGGAGTGGGCTCGCGGCATTAGCCTTCCCATTCCTCACGTAATACGCTCTTGGCGGTGGGCCCGCCTCCGCTTTGGGCCCTACGGAGCTCCGCGTTACGAGACGCGGGCGAGCTCAAGCAGTTGGCACTCGTGGTGTAGGGGGTTGGCGGCGGCGGCGCATGTCGGTGGCGCTGGCCAGCGTGACGCCATCCGCCGGCCAGACACCTATTGGTACGACTTGGCCGCACCGGTCCACCGCAGCCGCCTTCCTCGTATCTGTCCGGGTAGTCTCCGTAATCCAGGTGGGCGTCGCGGGGGGTACTTTTATACCATCCTGACCGCCAGACATATGCGGTTACCTCCCCCGGGGTACGCATATCATATACCAACTCATTTGATGATTCTCGAACTATGGGGACCATCATCAAAGTATCCTTACCTACCGACCTGGATCATGGAGAGCCCCATCGCCTCCGCCCCCGGCAAGATAGGGAGGGATATAGATAGACAGAGACCCTCCATCTCCTTTACTTCTAGTAAACGTTTTTTTTTTCTTTTTCTTTTGTGGTAATTTACAAGGTTGTTGTGCCGTCTGAAATTTGTTGCAAAGGAAGGTATGAGGCTGTACAATGCTGTGTTGTGCTTGAGTTCCCTTTGACGGCATATGGATTGTCAGGGTTGTCATTTTCTAAACGGTAGGCCATGTTTACTGCTTTGCCGGCGGCGTCAGGCCTCTAAGTTAAGCCGGTGGGATCGGCGTGAAAGGTTGCGTCGAGCCCCTGCTGCACCCGGCACACCTCGTGAGGCCGGGCCGGTGAGATATTGCCGTCAAATGAATGCGAGGGGGGAAAAATCATTAGATGTTTATCCAAATTAATACCTGCATTACGGAATGACTAATTATTTAGCTCTACATCGCCAAAAATTTAGCTGGTTATTATTATAGCTGATTACTTAGCTATACATAGCTAAAAATTAAGATCATATTTTTCTCGTGTGTCGAATCGATGTCATGACGATGTCGGAACGATACAATCGTGTCGATATCGCAGCAATATCATTGAAACGATACCGTGACGATGTGGATGCAGCAGAGAATCGTCATGATTCCATTTATCCTGTGAAGCCGGGGAGCCCGGCCGTCGCATGCTTGCGAATAGAGGAGCGCACCAGCGCGTCGGCCGAGTCCGGGGGTACTGTACTGTGCTGACCTACCTCAAGGCTGGGGAGGCGAGTGGGAACAACAACCGGGGCGAGAGATAGCGGCGCAGAGAGTGGCTGAGAGTGAGAGTGACTTCCGAAACGATATAGATACCAATCTCGCCTCATTTTTCCACTTCTGTTAATTTTTTTTCGATATTGTAGAGGAACGGCCTAACTGGGTCATTATCTGCCGATAGAATGACAGTTATCACTCTCATACCGTAGACTCGTTTAACGCTTGTTCTGGGTTTCTAGATGGTGGGTTCTCGTCCCCTTTTTTTCGGGGTGGCCAAGAGGGGTAAGGCGGTGGCGAGTGTCATGTTTGTGGAGCCAAAACCCGTGAACGTGTCAGCAATTATCAGGGATTGCGTAGCCCGATTCCTCCGGCAAATATGTGCACATACCCTCGCGGCCGGTGGTCGCAACGCCCCGCCACGCCCCGCCACGCCCTGTGCCGCCCTGTGCGAGGACGGGCAGGCCTCGTTTTTAGGTCAGAAAACCGGTTGCTCTTCCCACAAGTGGACCCACCACTTTTTTTTTCGAGTGAGCATCTCGCGCGTCTGCGTGGGAATTTCTTTTACGAAATACCACAGCAGATGTCGTGTTTTCTCGCCGGTTAAACGCATGTTATTCACTTTTATTTTCGTTCGATGTAGGTAGTTTATTTCCTTTTTAAAAAAATTATACAATGACCGTGTTTACCTTGAGAACGTTTGCAAAGAAGAAACGTCTAGGAGTGGTGCTGTCGACGTTTTCGACATGTCATCCGACCCACTCAATCGTCACTGTCAACAAGGAAACGCTCATAAAACCGTGACGAAACAGTTATTCGCTCTCGCGTTTGGGGTCTTTACCTCCCACCCCTATCGCACCTTCGAAGACGCGCGTTCCGTGAAGAAATCGCCTGCGAATATACTCCTCTCTCTCTCTCTCTCTCTCTCTCTCTCTCTCTCTCTCTCTCTCTCTCTCTCTCTCTCTCTCTCTCTCTCTCTCCGTCATAGAGGGCGCTGGATCAGAGTCAACGCCTTGCGCGAATAACAAACACTACTTGCACAACCCCGGCGCCGCTATTGCCGCCTCGTCGCGTGTCGCCCGCGTAGCGGCTGCCGTGTATGCACCGTCAAAAACAAAACGTTATTACCTCTTGAATCGGTTTACGTCCTTAAAATAGTAACAAAAATTCGTACACCGCATTTTTCTCAGTTGCTTATAATAAATAAGAGAAAATG